GTCAAAGAATCTCTCTGGTCTGAAGTTGTCGGGATCACCCCACAAGTCAGGGTCGTGATGCATCGCCGCCAAGTTGGTAACAATTGGCGTATCAGCCGGTATCGTGTACCCTCCCAGAGTAGTATCCTTGACGGCTCTGTGGAATACGCTAAACGGCAACGATGACGATATTCTCATCACTTCTCGGATCACCGCTTCCATATAAGGCAAGCTGCAATTGATCCGGAATTCGGTCGAATTCGACGATAACAAAGCAAAGGGGAAATCAGTCGACACGAGCGCGATGCGCTCTGCCCGCTCTGCTATGAACATGAGCAGGACAGAGCTCACTGTGATATCGTTGATGGGAATAATTATGCGTGTCTGCTTCATTCAGTTATCTACATCGAAGAATCGATACACATACGTAATACACATCAGTCAGTCATGCAGTGACTCACTTCTTTCTATCACCCCATGTAACCAAACGTCCGGTCCCAACGACTCGATCTATTTCATCGTGGGCTTTCTTCTGAACCCGGGGATGATGTATCAGGTATTTGAAGATCTGAGTAATAACAGTGGGAAGTGTAGAGTTGGCGGCCAGCAATATATCAGCTAGTAAAATGATTAGTTGCTCCTTTGAAAAAGTTTGCGTGTTATCGTCCTTATTCAATATGTCGAGATACCTGTCGATAAATCCTCTATCGACATTCTCACTGGGAATGACGTCTTGGGATTTCAGATATTCCTGACATACAAAGATGCAGAATTATTAACAAGTGCTTTTCATTCATTGAAGTGCGTATCTGATACAGTGCTTTTTTTCCTCCGTACAAGCTTGACCAAAGAGATCAGTTGTACGGATTGTTTGTCCTATATCTATACCTTTGTTACACTTGCCTAACTTTATCAATCATACCTGCAATACCACATTGATTGATTCGATTCGTATAATTTACCTGGATAATGTCTATCATTGCGTTATTTGCTTTCATCATATCTTTAAATCCAAACATATTTCCAAAATATCTTAAAACAGGTAAATGAAAAAGCGCACCGCCTGTTGAATCGAGCGATCTGTGAAATAACATAGCCATGCGACCAAACCGTCGTGGAATGTCGTGTTCACTTCTGTTAAATCTCTGACCAAACAACACATTCCATAAGGAACTGCATATTGTTGGATATAGAATGTCCGGAAAAAGTATCAAGTTGCCTTTTATTATTTTCTGCGGACAGTATGATCCATCAAATTCCATTGTCTATTTGTTTCCTTGCCAAGTTATTTCATATCAATCAGTATCATACTTGAATATCATAAAATATACCTCTTCTCCATCGTTGACAGCTCCATGTTTCAAGATATCGATAAGCTGAGATATCTCGTCCATGATCTGTTTCTCAATGCCGTCTTGTCGTCGCCCGAACCCGAAATCTCGTATATTGCGAAGAAAGAATCTCCTCTGCTCACGCCACAGCGTGTTGTCAGCGAAAGTTATACCTACAATTTTATTTTAGAGCTATTTTAGAGTTGATGGTAAATTGCAAGTAAAAAGTCCACCGCTGTCTATGTGTGATTCAACCATATTGACACAAGATTGAGATATTTTTTGAGAAAAGAAGAGATATCAAGTATATAAGCTACATATACAGGGTGTCCGGTAATTAGCTGCCAAACCGCGAGTGTGAAGGTGGATTGGGTTGAGCTGAAGAGAAAATAAGATACAATTTTGCAAGAATCGCAATAATTATCGAGTTACAAATGATGACAGAAATCTGACGAATGAGCGCGCGCCGAGATGGATGGATCGGAGGAGCGTCGTAGCCCCTCGGGCCATGGCGCGCGGCCCATCAACACTGTCGATCCAACAACACTGTTGGCGGCCTTACAAAATTGTATTTTACTTTTCTTTTCCAGCTTAGCCCAATATACCTTTACACACACACACACACACACACACACACACACACACACACACACACACACACACACACGCACGCACGCACGCACGCACGCACGCACGCACGCACGCACGCACGCACGCACGCACGCACGCACACGCACACGCACACGCACACGCACACGCACACGCACACGCACACGCACACGCACACGCACACGCACACGCACACGCACACGCACACGCACACGCACACGCACACGCACACGCACACGCACACGCACACGCACACGCACACGCACACGCACACGCACACGCACACGCACACGCACACGCACACGCACACGCACACGTATATATATACAGGATGAATCAAAAAGAAGGATACTCTCGAATATTTCGGAGGGATAACGTTTTTGAAAAAAATGTTATAACCGAAAGTTGTAGAGTTTCAAGAGGTCTATCTTATATTAACTTCATCAGTTTGACTCAGAGTTGCGTTTCCAAGGTCAAGTCAAGGTTAACTTAATTTTTTTGAACAGAAACTCTCATTTTTTATCACATCATCTTTTCCCACCAATTGATTCTGACAACTCTTGTCCAAAATATTCTTTTATCAGCCCAATACTTCTTGAGATATCAGAGGTAAAATTCGGTAACTTTTTCAATATCAAACTAACGATATCTCGCTAATTGTTTGTCGGAAGAAAAAGTGACACGAGACATTTTTACTCTATTTGGTCTCAAGAATATATATATACATATATATATATTTATTGTTACAATAGCGCCCTGACTCGTACTAATTTGATGATTTCGAAATTTCTAAAGGTTGATAAATAATTGATCGTTCGCGTGTGCACCGCGTTATATCGAATGACTCGCGTAGTATCAGATATATTATTCTCAAACGTTACGTAATAATATTGTATCCTAATAATCAATGATATTATATTTGTCATTACGCCCGTGATTATTTAAATGATTATACATTATTTTTAAAACCTGACAAAAATAATGCGCATGAATGTTATCATACGCGTCATCAATCAGCACATCGCTGCACCGAGCGCCCAACGTCAGCGTCTACGCGGTGCGCGTGCGAACGGTCAATTATGTCATGCGTCCTTGCCTATCTTCCCCCTACCCAGCCCGTAATGGATCAACTATTTGTCTCAGATCAGTAATTAAGCATCGGATAGCATCATGCGAGAGACGAAATAGTCTTGGGATTCGTTCAAGAATACGGTATATCAAGGACAAGAAATTGTTCCGGATCACCCTCTGTATATATAGATATGCAAGTCTCACATGTATTGTATAATATGGAACGAAACAAGTCTGATTACCTAATGTTTTTCCAAAAGATCGTGCTTTTATGACTGGCACTTCCGTAATTCGGCCGTCGAATTCATCTCTCTTGAGCACTTCCTTTATGCTGGCATAATCGTTAGCTATGACTACCCAAAAACTGCCCAGGTAGCAGCCGATGATTTTTGATTTCAATCTCTTTGTATAATATTCGACGGCCTTATATGGGAAGGAGTAGCTTCTCAACAATAATATCAGGTAAGATCCTGATATTGGAACTCTGATAATGCCTACGTGTTGAAACACATAATAATTGATTGTGTAACTGTCGCTTCTATTTCTTCTTATTAAAATGTTGTGTAACTATAACTGTTGTAATTCAGACAATATGAATCAAGTAGTTGAAAAATCTTTCCCGAATGGAATCATATTCACATTGCAGTACAGCACATGACAGAAATATCAAACAGAATAATAATATGTGCCTGAGAGTATGATGTAATAAAAATTTTTCAAATTTCTCTATACTCCTGACCAAAGTTGGTATTCAAGACAGGAGAAAATATAATGTTGTATGTATCCTTGTACACGTATGCTCGTGTATATAAAAAAATGAATGTATATAAAGTATCATAATTTTTAACATTATATATATATATTTTTTCTTTTGTTAAAAATTATGATATATGTATATATACATTAAATATATGTATATATATATATATAATATTTAGTTATAATATTCGTTATTGACTCCACAAGGCAAAGTTAAAAACGAATTTGAAATGAACGTGATGTCATAACGTACACGGAATTAGCCAAAACTATGTAAATTTTGCATCAACTTACTTGGAGGTGAATTAGGTGGCTTATGAAAAGTAAACTTGTAATATTTATACACCGATAGAAGTACGATCACTGCGATTAACAATGGAGTCATTCTTGTGCGTAAACAGAGTCAAACTGGTACTTTCGTAAAATTGTATCGAATTCTTTGGTTCAGGAAATATATACAAGCGCATGATGCCTATGTCTCGGCGATCATGCGCAGAAAGAAGCGGAGCATATTAGCTGCTAGATGAAGAAATATGTTTAATTAACATCTCTCTTAAAAGTTATCTGTTATTTACAGATAAATTTGAATTAAAAATGTCTGATGACATCAATATAGTTGATAATTATATTCTGATGTAACAGGGAGCTAATGGATATAATTATGCGTTATATCTCACTCTGTGTTATCATCCAACTACGATAGAAATATAAACGATATAAGTATAAACTTTAATCTATAAAATAAGAATCATTGTCAAGTGTGAGCTTAATAAATGACGACTAGTGGTTCCTTTGCCAATTGACACAAATTATTATTAAATAAATGGAAAAAAATTTACTCGCACTCTCAACAAAATGTTTCAATATATTCAAGGTGATTGAGATTTCAATCTGTCGCATTTCTTGAAATTCAGAGTCTTGGGTTAGTCGACAGGATTACAATGTACAATTATCTTTGTACACAATTTCAAGTTTCGCCAAGGACATTTGAAAGAAATGTTTTAACGAAAGAAACGTTTATTTTATAAATACAGATAATCATTTGTCGATAATCTTACATCACAAATAAGATATTTTGATACTATTGCGTTTCACTTTTCTATATGCGTTTATGAGTCAACATTAGAATAATACCTCTGCGTGTATGCGTTGATCGAACGCATATTACATTATATATACAATTTCGATAAACAATTATATACGATCTCACAAGTTACTCAAAATACGTGATATCGCCTCGGCATCCGAATGGCATAGTACAACTAAATATTGGACGTATTCGGTCGTCATTCAGGACCGCATGACCTACGTTTTGCGATCGATCATATAATAAACAGATACAATCTTGTAAATTCTGCATGATCTCCCGATCAAACACCGGTGTTTCCGTTAAATCGAAATGCAGCTTCAGAAATGCGGTGTAAAGGCTCACACAGTGTGCTGTTATTCGTAGATGAAACATTAGAAGGAAAGTCTTGGCGGTCTAAATAAGAGGATGAAATAAATGTCTCAATTGGCGTAAATTGTTTCATTATTGAAGTTATATATATATATATATATGTGCGTGTGTGTGTGTGTGTGTGTGTATGCGTATGTACAGTGGACCATTCAAGTTGATAATGCGAAATATCTCAAAAACTTGGTTAGAGAAGCGTTAGAGAAAGGAATGTTTTTGATAAAAGTTGTATGGTTTAAAAGGAGGCCGTATAATGGTGTTCTTGGTTTGATCTTGAAACGTGCATTGAAAAAATTACCAAGTATTCCTTAGATGTCTCAAAAAATACTAGGCAAATAAAACAATGTTTCAGACATGAAGTGGTTGAAACCAATTAGTAGAAAAAATATAATAAAAAATTGGAGTTTCCATTCGAAAAAATTAAGTTGACCTTCATACCTTCAGACCGCAGATACACGTTTCAAAGTCAAACTACAGGGCACCGTTGTACGTTCCCCTTTGATAAAACTTTTGTTAAAAAAATGATTTTTTTCTCTAACGCTTCGTCATCGAGATATCAACTCAAATGGTCCCGTATATACACGCACACGCACACGCACACGCACACGCCCACGCCCACGCCCACGCACTCGCACACGCACACGCACACGCACACGCACACGCACACGCACACGCACACGCACACGCACACGCACACGCACACGCACACGCACACGCACACGCACACGCACACGCACACGCACACGCACACGCACACGCACACGCACACGCACACGCACACGCACACGCACACGCACACGCACACGCACACGCACACGCACACGCACACGCACACGCACACGCACACGCACACGCACACGCACACGCACACGCACACGCACACGCACACGCACACGCACACGCACACGCACACGCACACGCACACGCACACGCACACGCACACGCACACGCACACGCACACGCACACGCACACGCACACGCACACGCACACGCACACGCACACGCACACGCACACGCACACACACACACACACACACACACACACACACACACACACACACACACACACACACACACACACACACACACACACACACACACACACACACACACACACACACACACACACACACCACACACACACACACACACACACACACACACACACACACACACACACACACACACACACACACACACACACACACACACACACACACACACACACCACACACACACACACACACACACACACACACACACACACACACACACACACACACACACACACACACACACACACACACACACACACACACACACACACACACACACACACACACACCACACACACACACACACACACACACACACACACACACACACACACACACACACACACACACACACACACACACACACACACACACACACACACACACACACACACACACACACACACACACACACACACACACACATTGCATGATGATGCTGCATTTTATTGATATTAAAAAAATATTAGGTAACGTCAAGGACGAGCCAATTCATGTCATTAACGAGCATAATTATGAGGATAATAATTAAGCATTTTCTTCAAATAAACAACTTACTTGTAATGTCGCCTTCAATGTTCTCAGATCAGTGTGATGTTCGCAATATTCGACGAGTATCCGAGCAAGCGATTCGCACCATTTGCCACAGCCTATGTTAGTGAGAAATTGAGGTAAACTGACCATGTATGCATGTCGTAGTTCGATATTCTGCTCGAACGTCATGTTGTCTATCAAATTAGAGAGAATTTCATCGCGTACTGTCCACTGCAAAGGTGGATAGAAAGTTACGATCTGATTTGAAATCTGATGTTGCGACTGTTATGAATCAAAATTCAGGATTAGAAATTCACCTCAAAGGCATCTGATCTGTCGTTCCAATATTCAATAGTAGGTATGATATTGGCTAAGCAAGTGTACAAAGGAATGATGTATTCAACTTGTTTTCGATAGGTCAAATGTTTCAAGGAGTGGTAAATTACCAGAGCATATCCGCTGTCTATTAGTCCTTTTTTCTGAAACATTTCAACGATCAAGTGCATCTGTGTACAAATGATAGATAACAAGCGGACCCTTATCGATAATTACCATATGAGAATGTTGTATAATCAGATGTAGACACTGTAGACCTATCGATATATTTTCGGGTACGTGATCATCCAGAAGGATCAGTGTGGTAGGTAGTACTTGGCTAATATAATTAAATAACATTGGTTTCTGTAAAAAGAGAAAACAGAATGGACACACGGAGTCAAACAAGATGGATTATAAAATCATATATTTAGGAAAAGTTGGAGACTCACTTCCACCAGATGCAACATCCATTTGAAACATGTAACAGCTGCTGGATAAGTCTTCCAAGTATCCTTCAATAATTTAGGTCTTAACATTACTAATAATTTATTAAAATTTTCATGCTCTGAGAAGAATGCGGTGATACTTTGGCAAGCCCATAATTCACAAAAGTTGGCGATTAATTCTTTGGAAATGTTGACACACTCGGCTGTATTCCAGATGTTTTTCTCAATGTGTTCACCAATAAGCAACAGTAAATTCATACCGAACATCTTTGCTAATGCTACATTATCGTCAATCAATAGTAAATGTTTTTCTCTGCAACTGTCAACGATATGTCGCAACATGAACCTGACATTACTCAAGTTCCTCTCTACAATCAGCCTGTACTCTCTAAAATCCTTTTCCTCGCATGGACGAGTCTCACCGATCATCTTCTGTGGTACATGACTCGTCTGGATCAGATCTATGCATGATTTCCAGTTGTGATCACTAAAATTGCCACTGATTCTCAACGTCTCCAATTCCTTCAGTAGGTCATCCATCTTTGCGTATCTGAGACTACAAATCAAACAAGATGATGTATTTTTGCTGTTCAGTTTTTCATCTCTTCCACCAAATCATACCTCAGACGATGATTATTCAAACCAATATCTTTCAGAATACATGACTCTGGTCCTGACTCAGATTCAGATGAGATGACTTTCGGTAGATGACTGTTCTCTCGACTGACTTTTGAACGAGCTAATCTATCAATCAATTAACCTGCAAATAATAATAACTATTGACCGTATATATATATAGCGAGGAATTCATTGTAACTTGGAGCCGTGAGTTTACAACGGTAATACGACCGGTGATTTCAGTACCAAGTGCATCTATTTCTACGATTCCGCGACTTACAGCAAGCAGTCAGCTGTATCGCGATAGCGTAGATCAGAACGTATCTTATCAAAGAAATTGGAATAACTGTAGCTACAAGTCGCAACAGAAACACCATGGAGCTTGATCAGTCGGAGAATCTCATCGAAATGACGTCACAATTTCGATCGTTCCCGTAATCTTATGTATCGATGTGTCCCAAACGATTACGGACTATCAGTGTGAGAAAATTGTGCATACCGAAATCACACACAGGCCGAATCATCGATGGTGATTGAGCGCGTCGGTGACGGCGACTATGGTATGCACGGTGTATGTACCTACATACACACGTGTCAACGCGATGAAGCGACGCGATCGCTACCGCGAGGAATCAGATTACGATTGAACTTTATGCAAGGGATGCGACAGAGGATTCCGTATCCTTGATAAAATAGTTATATACATAGTAATGCACAGCAGCGCTCGTACCGGCCAAAAATATGGTATATCAACAATGTAATCGTCGTGAATACTAGTCTGTAACTTGCACGATATATCGTATAATCAGCATAATCTTGCGACGTTGCGGTCGATACGTCGCTGCACCTGATACATCCAGTGACGTGGTCAGGGCTTTCGGATCCTTGTTCAAGGTTGACAAGGAAAGGAAAATAGCGAGAGAAAAGAGGTTGAGTTTCGCGACGTTAGTAACATGTACCTGAGTGAAAAACGACACACAACAGAGAGAGAGAGAGAGAGAGAGAGAGAGAGAGAGAGAGACAATCGTGAGACTTTTTTTCTAGTGCGCATCAGTGAAGAGTTGACATTTCCTAATGTTTTGAAATTAGAAAATTTGGTAATTGCAAAAGAATACGGGCTACTTCTCACCAATTTCGCAGGAAACTTTGCACAATTGTCTATCATGGTGCGTAAAACGTGATTTTGAAAGAAAAAAGTGACGCTCTTTGATGGATCAAAAGTTGTAAAAATCTGAAAAATGACACGCATAAGGTTAAGAAATCTCTCATGCCGATAATATAGGTTCCGTTTCGATATTCACTGCCAGTACTGATGATGTATAGTATACGTGACACAAACTATGTATCATCAGTATTTGGCAGTGAATTGGCGTAACGCAGCCATAGGATTTGTTTCTTGAGCGGCACACGGTGCTGGTTTTCGTGCTGGATTGCTTGCTGGATGAAAATACTGCGTTTTGATTGGTGCATTTCCATCCATCTTCGGAAATGTACCAATCAAAACGCAGTATTTTCATCCAGCAAGCAATCCAGCACAAAAACAAGCATCGTGTGTCGCTGGCTTTATACTTTCCGACCAAAAAGGAACGATCCAAACGTCTCTGTATTACCGGCATGACAGATTTCCTAACCTCGTGCATATCATTTTTTATCATTTTGTAACTTTCGGGCCCAACTTGCTTCAGACTCCGTTTGAAGCAAGTTGTGGAACTGGACCTCGACCCCTCAGAGAGCGACATTTTTTTTCCCTTTCAAAATTAGCGAGATATCGTGAGTTTGATATTGAAAAAGTCAAAAGGTTTCCTCAGATACGTAACAAAATATAAGGCTGATAAAAAAGATGTTTCAGACACGAGCTGTCTGATTTAATTGGTAGAAAGAGACGGTGTAATAAAAGATCGGGATTTCCATCTGAGAAAAGTAACGATCAGTGAATATCTCGAAAGTGGTGCCATTTGTGAACAAAATAGTAGTTGTTTCATGTCTCCCTTGAAATTATCATGCAACTTTTGTCCGAAATATTTTTGCTGATGATGCTTCGTTGAAGAATTATCGAGGCGCGTTTTTTAAAATGGGATACCCTGTATATGTGTATTGTACTGTGTCAGTGGCCGCGTTCAGTAGAACTGAGTGATCAGAGAGCGCTTAGTGATTATTGTCTGTGATTGGAGCATTCTTTTAGATTCTTCATAGACCCAGAAGTATCAACCAATCAGGAGCGAGATTCAGTGGAGAATCTAGGGGTGCGTTCCGTTTCACGCATATGCGCGCATTTTTTATAGTATACGTAACATAAACTATAGATAAATGCGCGCATATGCGTGAAACGGAACGCACCCTAATAATGTTGTCCAACTGTTGAGTCTGCTGAATGCAGCCAATATCAGCGTTGATAGCGCGTTAATAGCGTCTGCCTGAATGCACCCTGGTTCAGCAGTGGAGTTGAAAAGAACAGACCAAGGCTGCGTTCCGAAATCAACCGCCAGTACTTTGGACACATGAGGCCTGTTCGTTTTGTCTGCACTGCTGAACTGGTGTAATAAGTTAAAGTGAGACAAACGTAGGTTTTCTCACTCTAAAGCCAGCGACACACGGTGCTTGTTTTCGTGCTGGATTGCTTGCTGGATGAAAATACTGCGTTCTGATTGGTACATTTCCGAAGATGGATGGAAATGCACCAATCAGAATGCAATATTTTCATCCAGCAAGCAATCCAGCACGAAAACAAGCACCGTGTGCCGCTGGCTTAACTTGTTGCACCAGTTCAGCAGTGCAGACAAAACGAACAGGCCTATGGTTTGTGTCACGTGGTCTGTTCTTTGTAGCCGCACTGCTAAACTGGTTTACTGAAGCTAGAGTGAGAAAACCTATATTTGTCTCACTTAAACTTATCGCACCAGTTCAACGGTACAACTAGAAAGAACAACAGAACAACGTATACCCTATAGAATTTCAGTGCAGACAGTGAATATCGGAACGCAGCCCAAATATTCATGCGATACAGCTTTGTCGCGCGTGCGCATCAACATTGCGTCATATCCCGTGTCAACGTTCCTTTTGTATCATCGATTTTTTCACATGTTAATTTCGGAAGCTCCGGTAATTATGAATTAATGAGGCTGTAGTAGCTGGTAGTTGCGACAATGGCAGAGTACCGTTAGTTGATTTTCTATTATGTTTCTTTATCTAGTTGTTGTTCGTCATTCGTGTCGTCTTGCCGTCGTGTTGTGTCAATTATGATTGTAAGCAGAAACATCTCCGGTGGTGTCCATCTTGGTTCCCGTGTCCCTTCCTGACGACGCCCCTACAATGTCATAATCTAATTTTTCGCTCAGATTATTTCCTCCGTTTAGCGAAGAGAGACGCGAGAGCACCAATTGTCGGAAATTAACACGACGTTCAGCGCACGGGTATGAGCAATCGAAACGATTAGTTGTATAAGGATGGATCAATCGCATCATTCAATCGGACGCATTATTAAGTACGCGCGAATACCGTTATCTCTGATTGATATTTTATTTCTGTAATTGTGCGCGCTTCATAGATGAGTATCGCGACTGAGAGTCATCACAGTCTCGGATATTATCGCAACAGTGTACAGTGTAGACATGTCTTTTTCTCTTACAAGAAGGATCTAGTTCCTACTGCGTGACAACAGGAGTTGGCAGTGATTCCGAAGTTATGGCAGAATTAGCGGCTCTTTTACGACATGAAATTCCAGAGGGAAGAAATAATTTGGCCGACAGCCATACAAACTTGGAGAGAGTGGCGGAATACTGCGAAGCAAACTACTTCCAGGCAGAGAACAAAAGGATCGCACTGGAGGAAACAAAAAATTATACTACTCAGTCCTTGGCCAGCGTCGCGTATCAGATAAATACTCTGGCTTATAATTTCCTCCAGTTGCTGGACTTGCAAACGTCCCAACTTGCTGAAATGGAGAGTCAGATGAATCATATCGCTCAAACTGTTATGATACATAAGGAAAAGGTCGCTAGAAGGGAAATTGGTGTATTGACAGCCAATAAAGTGGCAACTCGTCAGTACAAGATCATTGCACCTGCGAATCCAGAGAAACCAATCAAATATGTTAGAAAGAGCATCGATTATACAATTTTGGATGATATCGGACATGGAGTACGTAGCTGCGGTACACCTCGAAGCAAACAACGCGGAGGTAGTCAAGGCAGCGTTCAAAGTTTGGGTGCTACTTCCACAGGCTCGGGATTACAGGCTGCTATGGTAGGACCTGCTCCTACCACCAAACCACCTACACCACCTCAGACGGTGAGAACAGGTAAGAATTATACAGATGTATACGCACACGGAATACATGCAGGATGTCAGATACTCGCGGGTGTGCAAAGTATCAGTACTGATTTCTCATCTGGAATATCCGTAAGATTCACCGATGGATATTAACGACGATACTATCAATTTTTTGACATCCTGTATGTACAGGGTGTCCTAGGAACACCCTGGGACACCCCGAGTTGACGCTAAGAAACTTCAGAGTGCTACACAAACTTGTAAAGGTGTACTTTTTCAGTTGCGGTTATAAAAAATTAAAAATCATTTCGCTAATGCAAAGGTATTTACAGCTTCTCTCGCTTGCATGAGCATACTCGTTCTTCAATTATGTATCTCTCTGTTATTTCAGCTTTTTCTGAATGTTTTCTACCTTCTGTCCACGTGTTGTACCATTCGATGTTTCAATCTGTCTCTCATCTGGAGATGGAGGAGGTGCGCTACTGTGAATAATATCGCTTGATTCTCTGTGCATAGGAACGTTGAGTAAAGGATCGCGCGAATATAGGACTCCACCAGCGGTAGCTCCACCCCAAGTTCCTAGTCATTACGCGCCTAATTACCCGCTCGGCCATCCCCGACGAGATCGCGGCCCAGGATACAGCACACTACCGTTGCATGCTCACAACACGTCCCACACAACAGCTCATAACGCTAATCATAACGCGCACACTAGTACCATTGGTCAACATGCCACTATGCCGCAAGTGGGAACGGTGCATCCTCTGCAGAGTCACCCGCAGACGCCACCACCGGCACCGCCTAGCGTTACAGCTGGATACGTACAGGAGCAGCATAACAGTATGCCTCGTAAGTGATAAATATGATGTGATATGATGATATTTTGTAATTTTAAAAACAAATTTTTGCTGCGCGATACATAATAAAAATATACAAGAAGTATAAGAAGCGTTCTCTCTCTTTTTTTTTTGTTTTTGTCGTTTTTCTTCACAACGATATCGCTATTGAATGTTGATGTATATTACCACATCACAGCACCTCCTTCACCTTTGGTCGGACTAAGCGGCGATATGGCGGAATATAGCGGACATCACACTTTACCACATAGATTATCACATCAAATGAATCGTAGCAGTGGTGCGAGTAGTCCTCCTTTGCCGCCACCACCGCCTCCGGAGCAGGAGGAACATCCGCAATTCGGCAGACCAACACCGTCCACTGGTGCTATAATGCCAATTGTACCGGATGAAGAAGATTTGCCTGGTTGGGTGCCAAAGAATTACATCGAAAAGGGTAAAATTGCGGATTTGTTCCAACATCGGCTTTTGCGCGACAGGCCACTTGTTACAATTGACCACGGCTCGCCGTCGTCATATTGGATAATGATGATGTCAGCTGAGAAATAGTATATAGTAAGCATTTTGTGAGCATATGTTTTCTCGTTTCTGACATCATCGATCAAAAGTTCTGTGGCGAGTGCTTGAAACGTATTAATAATAATTATGGTAATTATAGTATTTATAGTAATTATAATAATTTGTATATAAGTAACAACATACATACATATATATATCATCATTACAGTGGTAGCCATCTACGACTATTATGCAGATAAGGAGGACGAATTAAGTTTTCAAGAGAGTTCTGTAATCTATGTGCTGAAGAAAAACGACGACGGATGGTGGGAGGGAGTGATGGATGGAATAACTGGATTATTCCCAGGCAATTATGTCGAACCATGCGTATAACTACTCGCAACAATTGGTTGTATCATGATAATAACGACAAGAATATAATCGAAAGACTGCAATTTTTCAATGCATCAACCGAACATATACATATATACATGCATCACACCACACAAGCCACTCTTATATCTTTGATCGCAATCAACAGTTATTTCTCATCTCATTCTTCCTCTTTTGAAAAGAGTATTGGAATATCCTACGCCTACGATGATATGACCGTTTGAGGCTTATCGAGTACGTTTATTTGAAACACAAATCTTATTTTACATTATAATTTATTAATAATTATAAAGAAGGAATTTATATATACATTAGATAAGTATTATCTGTGCTGTAACAGTATGTGCAGTATATAAGTCTTGTAGTACTCTGAATATTTGGGTTATCAGCTATTATCCTCATGTGATGCACTTATCCATGCTGAATTCGAAGCGTTGTGAATTTTTCTTTGTAGATTATAACTTGAAATTATTCACGGGTTATCTAGTCCTCGATGATGATATCAACCACGCTTATAGTCGTGCGAAATGTTGAGATATCAGTCGACAACTATACTGATTGTATGACGTTACACTATGAAAAAAATAACATCCAGTTACAACAACAAAGATTACAGACATTAAGCGAGTTTTGAATCAAACTAAAGAAATTAAATTTTTATATTAACGCGCGTAAAAAATGTATTTTTATGCATCATAGTATCAGTAGATCATGACTCGCGCATAAGTAGCGGAACTCCAATTATAAGTACATATATTATGTGTGTTGATCTACGTATGTATTGCAATAGATGTCTTTTATCTGTAATTCTGTCAGCGTTATTTGTGACATCACTTAATTTAATTTATCGTTGTGATATAACTGAGAATACAGATTTGATCTATCTTGAGGTTGGTTCGAAACATATTTTGAGATGAGATGTTTGCACAATATACTGTTGAACGATACAACAGCCTCGAATTGTCAGTAAGAAATATGTCGATTATATGGAAATTCTTTGATTAGTCCATAAACTATATCATATCGAATAATATTAGTCGGTTACAAATTCAGATTGCGTCCTATTTTATTAATAAACCGCGAACGTTGAGAGAAACAATCCACGTTATTGAAAAATGCTCGTCATCTTTCAGACTAATATTTATCGAAATCAATCTCTTTGACATTTAGAAGTGAAGATATCGACGCAACTATCGATCGAACGATACCTAGTATCAAATTCAGAGATGGCTGGAAGGAAAGGGATTAGAGTTTGATACACAAAAAACGAAAATGAAGAGATTCAGGTGTGGAGGGGGAAGGAGGAGAAAGAAGGAATGAAGGTGGAAGGGAAAGCATTTTGAAGAAGTTTAGGAATATAGGTATCTGGGTTATGTAATACAGAGTAATAGGGGGCAGAGGCACAAGTAAGGCCCCTTGCACAATGCCAGGCAACAAGCAATAAGAATAAAAATAGAGCAATCATAATCGACTATGACAAGAATAATCTATTGTGATTGGTCTATTTTTTATGTTATTGCTTGTTGCCTGGCATTGTGCAAGGGGCTTATGAGATAAGAACAGGAAAGGGGCGGTGGCAATGAGGGTGGTATGGGGAATAGCAAAGAGGGTGTGGGGTTGGAATTGCAGAAGGTTATGGGCAAGAGCACAGGCTTTTGCATAACACATAATACATAACGCATAAGAGAATAAATAAAATTAGTTTTCTTCATTTCCCTTCTGAGGACAGAAATGAGGAACTCTGATTGGTTGATTCTCTTACGCGTTGTGTATTATGTGTTATGCACAAGTCTGTGTTCTGGCCCTATGGCTATACAATAAGCTAGTGTGGACGGTGATGGTGACGAAGAAATGAACGATAGATGCCAGCACCAGCCAGTTCCGAGCGGAGCCACCGATACCGAATTCTTACGGCACAGGCTCATCCACCAAGGAGGGGACTGTGAAAAATAGTCACCGGAGAATAGAATAGAACAGACAAGAGAATTGAGAAGAGTGTATAATTGAGAATAGAATATAATCTAGAATAAAGATAGCGTGTAGAAATAGTCGAGTCGGAGATTAAGTCGATTGTGAGTACATTATTGTACACTCGCGAGCATAAAGGTTTGTGACCGTTTTTTTGCAACTTTCGGAACGCATCCCGGCTCGAGAAGAATGAGAGTCACTGCTCCGCCTGTGGAGCACGCCTGCGCAGTGACTCACGACGAAAGGCGAGAAATGAAATATACGCGGAGGGACATATCATACAATGAAAGGGAAATAAATGGTAATGGATAATATTGAAGTTGATATCACGTAAAGGAGAATGAAGGAGCTGTGTTCCTTTGTCACGTAGGAAATAACAAAAGTGGTAATAAATAGTCAACGAAAGATTCGGCTAGGAAAGTAAGATGGAGTAGAGTAGTTAACAGACGAATTGTCAACTCAAGTTTGAGATTCATAGATGGGAACAGATGGAAGGAAATATATAACTCGTCCCGATTCGGTAGGAATCGATGGAAGGACAACACAAACGAATAACAAATGTCAATCAGGGTAATCAGGGTAAACAGGGGAGGAGGAGAGAGGAGGGGGAGGAGGAGGGGGGGCGAGGTCGGAGGACTCGATAAACAAACACAAGCAAGGATAATGGCGGGGCAACGAGAGCGCGAGATAGTGACGGGAGTGGGGGGGGCGGTGACGGGGGAGAGACGGCGGGTGGGGAGAGAGAGAGAGAGAGAGAGAGAGAGAGAGAGAGAGAGAGAGAGAGAGAGAGAGAGAGAGAGATTATATATCTACATACCATATAATTGTCCTGCTACTGATACTTTAGTTGTTGGGACAGTAAATTTTACATAAATTCTCCGCGTGTGCCTGTATCTGTATCGAGATACATTCGAAATGTATCTTGCCCATCGCTGATTACATGTGTCTGAAATACAAATCACGAAATTGCTCCAGCTGCAGTCTTACCGACATTTTATCATAAAAAGCTCGATAACTTCAAAATGGCTTACTCAATGTGAAAAATTATAGTGTTTTGAAAAGGTCTGAAGAAAGGCTACAAGAATATGCGATAAAAAGTAAGGGGTCCTGTTTAAAAAAATTCAAGGTGACCTTGGCGACGCCACCCAAGGTCAATCTCATATCATTAAATAGATCTTTTGAAACCTTACAATTTTTATTTGAAACATTTTTCTCTAAACGCTTAGTTTCTGTGATATTTCACCGTCTCAGTACTTTTTATACATCCTGTATATGGTAAAATCGAAGAACACTAGAGACGACCAACTAAGGCCGTAGAATACCATAGATCGTCTGAGACCCAGTCACAATGGGAAAACAAAAATATGCGCAAATCGCATTAAAAAGCAATATTTTGTTTAAATTTGCTGAAAGCTTGCGGCCCGAAATTAGTTAGCCAAAAACCATTTTAGAGCGAGAGCAAATTATACAAAGTATAATTTTAGTTTCGAAAAATATTGCGAACTTATACTAATAATAAGTGTGGTTATGCTATAAAAAGGAATTAGGAATTTAGCGCTAAAAGCCGGAAAGTTATATAAAAAATCATTATAAAGCGGCTAAAGAGCGTTAGATAGCGTATAAAAGAAATTTATTATTGGTAAATATGCAGTATAACGCCCTCACCTTAGATTTCTTTGAAATTTTGAAAAATTGTGTATTTTAATGCGTAGAATTGATTTCTGAAAACGAAAATTGTCGCTCATGTACCATTTTTTTTTTTTAATTAAAAGTTTCGATGTCGGTAAGTAAGAAAGTGATAAAATTGGTAAACTTGATTGATAAAGCTAGCTCGAATACGTCTAACTTCAGTTATATTCCTAAATAAGTTTACTTTCATCTGTAATCGTAATTTCAAAACCTAAAAATGGGATATTCAGTAGAAAAAATTAATAATAATCCTTGGCTTGGAGTTCAAGATATAGTCGGTGATGCAAAATTATGGCTTAAATTTATCAGAAAAATATTCTGGGATAGAAATTCAACTGATCATAATCGGATAATTTTAGTAAACTTCATATATATAAATGCGATAATTATACAGAATACCCCTCTCACCTCTGATATCGACGAAAAAATATTTAATCGACGCGTTTTTGTAAGAGAAAAAACTTTTCTATTTGAAAAAATCGTCGCTCTGCCTTGTGGAGCGAGATATAAATTGTTAAAGTTGTTAAAGTTGGTGACAATTTAGATTAGGAAATCTGTTACGGAGGCGACAGATAAGTAAAATTCTGGATGGGTTTGCAACTTTCCACGCGTAAGGAGGACGGGGTGGGTGCGGGAGGGGGGCCGGAAGTCCCCCCTCGCACCCCCCCCGTGTGTGTGTGTGTGTGTGTGTACATATGTTTGAGACATTTTTATTTATTAAACATGAATTTGTAACTCATGTATCAGTGGTTATTATAAAAAAAATAACCACTAATACATGAGCTACAAATTTATATGTTTAATAAATGAAAATGTCTCAACATATGTACACACACATACACATACACACGGGGGGGGAGGGGGTACGAGGGGGGCCCTCGGCCCCCTCTCATACCCACCCCGTCCTCATTACGCGTGGAAAGTTGCAAACCCATCCGGAATCTTGCTTCGCATTAAAAAATATTTTGTCAGATTATTTAGGTTATAACACACAACTGTATTAACAACTCAATATAATTGAAGTTTGACGATATAATATAACTGAAGTTAGACGTATTCGAGCTAGCTTTATCGATAAAGTTTACCAATTTTATCACTTTCTTACTGACCGACATCATAAAACTCTTAATAAAAAAAAAAACGGTACATGAGCGACAATTTTCGTTTTCAGAAATCAATTCTACGCATTGGTAATTATCCAGTTTAGGGGCTCCGCTTTAGAATTTGATAAAAATAGACTCAGTCAACGCGTTTTTTAATAAGGAGCAACTTTTTCCTCTGCGAAAATTGTCGCTCTTCACTGCGAAACGAAATAAAAATAGTTAAAGTTGACTGGTATAATAGGTTAGGAAACCTGTCAAGATTCCGGATGGGTTCGCAACTTTCCACGCGCAACGAGGACGGGGTGGTTGCGGGAGGGGGGGGCCGAAGGCCCCCCTCGCACCCCCCCGTATGTGTGTGTGTGTGTACATATGTTTGAGGCATTTTTATTTATTAAACCAACGAATATTGTACACTCATTAATTTAATAAAGCAGAAAATTTTAGTACAATTTTAATAAGGTAAATATCTTTCATCAAATGTCATTAACTTAACAGTTTTGTCATAAAAAAAATTATTAACAATTAAAGATCATAACTATCGATTCCACATTTATTTTTAATTTTTTAAATTTATCTTATTAAAATTGTACTAAAATTTTCTACTTTACTAAATTAATGAGTGTACAATATTCGTTGGTTTAATAAATAAAATTGCCTCAAACATATGTACACACACACACACACACACACACACACACACACAACACACACACACACACACACACACACACACGGGGGGGGTGCGAGGGGGGCCTTCGGCCCCCCCCTCCCGCAACCACCCCGTCCTCGTTCGCGTGGAAAGTTGCGAACCCATCCGGAATGCCGGAATGTCCGGAACCCATCCGACAATTTTCGCAGAGGAAAAAGTTGCTCCTTATTAAAAAACGCGTTGATTGAGTCTATTTTTATCGAATTCTAAAGCGGAGCCCCTAAACTGGATAATTACCCTACGCATTAAAATACACAAATTTTCAAAATTTCAAAAAATCTAAGATGAGGGCGTTATACTGCATATTTACCTTTTATTTTGTAATAATGATTAAGAGA